CTCCTTTTTTGATAGTATTGTGACTGAATATATTGTGACCTCACCAGAACTTTAGCTAAATGAAGAACAATTGGCAAACTTGGGATTTGAATCAGGAAATATCTCATTATAAACAAAATTCCTTACAGATATTCAATGTGTTTTTTATATACTCACTGCTATGGATAGAATTACTCTATCAAAATAGTACAGAGGTTCAGTACTTGAATATCCTTCACAGAGGTTGTGCAAGGAAGTAGTAATCCCAAACCTTCCTGCAAACACCTGTGAGTTTGACCCAGCAGTCCCCCAGTTATAAATCTGTTCTCTGAATATTCAAAACTGCTGAATCCAGTTCTGTCTGCTTCACCGTCCAATGAGAAGACAAGTTCAGTTATATTCTACATTAACGGCTCCTCAATTCCACTTTCCATCCCCAAAGTGCTTAAAAAAACCACAACAGCCACAACAAGCACAGACAAACGCCAAAGCCAATTTCTGCTCTTAGCCTAGCTTAACATTACAGTAAAAGAGAACAGGATCTGAATGTTTAAACTTACTAGAATTTGGAAAAGGATTGTAATTTATACTAGTCAATTGGCTTATGCCCCATAATGAAAGTCTTAGAGGAATCACACAGTGGTAAAAGTGCATGGACAGCACATATTTGGAGGCTGGAACCTCACTCCATCTTCTGAGTGAGTGAAGGATTGCTGCTGGGTCATGGGGGCCGAGGCCCCAAAGTAAACACAGGTGTTGAGGAGGCAAGTGACTGGGGTTACCCCATCCAGTAGCAAAAGCAACACACACAGTCACGGAGAGTGAATAATACTTCAGCAAAACATATGGACCGCTGCAAGTTTGAGTTTCCCGTCAATTAACAAATTTCTTATCAAGCCTCATTTAGGAGGGATAACAAGAATTTCACTATTAAATGACGGTTATTAGTGGCTAATGACTAGGTATTAGGCTAACTGTGATCTAGCCATATGTTTTAAGTGTCTTGTTTTTGGATTGTGGTCAAGGCAGGTGGGCTCAGGAATTAGTAGAAAAAAGTAAAGGCATGTGAACAATCATCTGGCTTTCTTAAAAAAAGTCTAAGAGCATCTGTCCTATATGAAATTACTTTTACAGAAGTATATGTGCTGTTGTGCCAGTTAAAAAAGGGAAACACTGCAAAATAACTTAAATCTAAATTTAGAAGCTCTGTGAGTGTCAGTATAGCTGATTCTTGGATATTTTAGCTTTCCTAACTCTGAAAATTGAGATCTTTTGAGACCATCCTCATCAGAAAGACAACACTATTGGTTGTCTGTACAGATGCTTTAGATATTCTAGGCTATATTTCAGTTTTCCTGACAAGCGACCTCTTGCCATCATGTGAACAGAAAAACAGAATTGGTTATTTTTTATGAAAAATGTGCTGATTTTAACATGAGCAGCAAACATTAGTTGGAAAGGAAGAAGTAACATGACTTCCACAAGGAAATAGCCCTGCCTTAAAACAAAGCAGGGGGGTGTGCTAGTGAGGGACATGTTGTTTAAGGTACCAGTGAGACGCTGAAAAACAATCCAGGAAGTCCAGTTGGAATGAAAAAAATGCAGTTCAAGGCCTACAAGATGCCAAAGCATTAGAGTTTGAAATACTCACAGACAGGACTTTACAACTCTGGAAATATTAATGAAGTAAGCAGTAGAAATACAGCATTCATGTTACAAAATAATGTAGCTCTGCAGCAAAAGTTGAGCCAGGTTACATTTTTTTGACGGACTGGATCCATTCAAATGAAACAGGGCTCAAGTTGGTCTGAATGTGGCCTTATGTAGAAGGTTATTAGCATGGATAGGCATAAAAAAAATCATATGACCTCAAAACTAGAGACCAAGCCTCTAGCTAATAACTTTGGTTTCTTTTTAACTTTTTAACTTTTTCCAACCATGATGATTTTTTAAAATAAATGAAACCTTAATCATAAATTGCAGATTTTTTTTTAATACAATCAGTTTTGAGGGACTAAAGGAGCACTGATAAAGTGTAAATATAGCAACCCTAAAGTATTAGGTATTATCATGTATTTTAAAATAAATGTCAGAACCCAGCTGTAGAAAAAGATGCTCAGAGCTCAATACCTTGTTACAATAATAATATAATGGTAAATCAGATGCACCCTCCAGTCAAGGCCGGTAAGAATTGCAACACCTGCCATCAACTTAGCAGTGCTTCTCAGAAATTATTTCACAAATTTAGTATCTATGGCATGAGTCTCGGAACCAGAAACTGAATTCAAAATCAGTGTGCCTCTTGGATGTCAGGAACCTCCTATTCACTGTGTTACAAACTAGGGAGTGATGCTTTGTCCACCTCTGTTGGGGGTGAACAGCTGTTGCTGCACAGCAAAAATCCTCCAAGTGTGTTTACACATGTATAAACATAGCATGACAGTGAAATGTACTCAGCCATACCAAAACCCAGGGGCCTTCTTCCTGGGCCTCCTCAACTGATGTTTTAAACTATTTATTCTCAGTAATATTTACATTAATCCTATCATATATGTTCTGGTTTTTAATGCTTCCTAAAATGTTTTAGCTTTGATATTCTATTGTGTAGATTTAGGTGTATAAAAATAAGCAAATGTTTGACAATTCTTGTGATCTACTGATTCAGCTGAAACTGTAAAATGACACTTTACAGAATTGCTTTCAGGAATTGATATTCAGAACCAAAATAGTTTCTTAACAATTGCCCAGATCTTAGAAATCTGGAACCGGTTCCAGTTCAAAACCAGTTTTTGATACCTAATCTGACCAAGGTTGTCACCTAACCTTTTCATGTGATATGTAGAAATGGCATGTCCACGTGATGGTTTTAACTCACGCTGTACTACAGTTTATGTAACTGTAACATGATGCTTTTGAAGTGAAGGATATGTAATATTTATGATTCATCTCTTTGCTGGACTCAAAGACAATTTTGTTATTTGTTTGCACAGCGAAAGGAAGAGCTGAAAGGAGGAACTATACTTACTGAATAGAATGGTTAAAAAATTCAATATAGGGCGCCCGGTTAGCTCAGTGGCTAGAGCTGGCGAACCATGTACCAAGGCTGAGTCCTTGCCTGCTAGCGGCGCCAGGGTTCGAGATCCGACAGCGCCTTCACGTTGCTGCAATGTCCAATCCCACCTCTCGTCTCTGCCCCCTTTCCTGTCTGTCTCCAGCTGTCCTATCAAATAAAGGCATAAAACGCCGAAAAAAATATACTTAAAAAAAAAAGAAAAAAAGAAATTCAATATAGTACAATGCCCCAAGCCCCACTTTATGCGCAATTTCATCACCTTTGTCAAACAAATTTGATCTGTATCAGGTTGTATCCTCTTTCACACATGCAAAGATTTGTAACAGCAAGTAGTTCCCAGCATATTTAATGGAGCATCATTAAAAAGTTCTTTGAGGAACGGGGGGCAAGCATTCCTTCCTAATTTGTAGCCTTCGTTTTGCAAATAAATATTTAGCAACTGGACAAATGGTGTTCTCCGAGAGATTTTCATTTCATGACGGGCAACAGATGTCATGCTTTGAAATAATTTCTTCTCTTATTCTCTAGGCAGATTAACAGAGTGAATGTTTCATTAGCCTGCAGCTTTTGACGGTATGGCAGATGGGAACTTTCAGTAATACAGTGATTTTTTAAGAAACAACACATACTGTACCAGAATATTTTTCCTCAGAGTGCTTGGGAAAATGAATCTTATGGAAAATATTATTTTGGGCT